TCCCAGCACTTTGGAAGGCTGAGGCAGGTGGATCACTGGAGGTCAGGTGTTCAAGACCAGCCTGGGCAACATGGTGAAACCCTGTCTCTACTAAAAATACAGAAATCAGCTGGGTGCGGCGGTGCATGCCTGTAATCCCAGCTACTTGGGAGGTTGGGGCAGAAGAATCACTTGAACCGAGGAGGCGGAGGTTGTAGTGAGCCGAGATCGCGCCACTGCACTCCAGCCTGGGTGACAGAGTGAGACTCTGTGTCAAAAAAAAAAAAAAAAAAATACATGCATAAAAGATGTTTCTAAGAGTGCTAAAAAAAACGCCTACAAATGGATAAGGAAAGGTAAATAACACAATAGATAAATGATCAAAGGATATGAACAAGCACACTCATAAAAGAGGAAACCCAAATGACAGAAAGAGCCCCTCCCTCTCTAGTAACAGAGGAAATGCAAATTTGAAAGTGAATTATAATTTTACATTCAGTATCTCACAAAATCAAGTGCTGATGAGGCTGTAGAGCAACCAGAACTCTGTAACTATTGTTTGGAGTGGAAGTTGGTAGTCAAGAACGAGCAATTTAGCAACATCTCCTAAAAGTGTCGATACCCACTATCTAAGATACAGAAATTCTATCTCTACATGTTACCTAGCGAAACTCTCATCCACAGGTGTAATGTTCTTTGGAGCATCGTTTGAGATAGTGAGCCAAGATCGTGCAACTGCACTCCAGCCTGAGTAACAGAGTGAGACTCCATCTCAAAACAAACGAACAAACAAACAAAAGAGAATAAATATATGCGGGATATTTATAGATACTTCTATTTTATTTTTTGTTATTTCAACTTTTTTTTTTTAACCTGCCTCCCAGGTTTAAGTGATTCTCATGCCTCAGCCTCCCAAGTAGATGGGATTACAGGTGCCTGTAACCACATCTGGCTAATTTTTGTATTTTCAGTAGAGATAGGTTTTCACCATGTTGGCCAGGCTGGTCTCGAACTCCTGATCTCAAGTGATCCACCTGCTTCGGCCTCCCAAAGTGCTTGGATTACAGGCATGAGCCACCGCGCCCAGCTGCCTATGTTTTTAAACATTGCCTGGCCCGTTATTTCAACTTTTATTTTCGAATCAGGAGGTACATGTATAGGTTTGTTACAAAGGTATATTGCATGATGCTGAGGTTTCCAGTATGAATTAATTAAACACCCAGGTAATGAGCACGGTACCCAATAGGTAGTTTTTCAGTGTTTTCCTCCTCCCTCCCTAACCCCTTTGGATTCCCCAGTGCCCATTGTTCCCATCTTTGTGTCCATGTGTACCCAATGTTTAGCCCCCATGCATAGGTGAGAACATACATTATTTGGTTTTCTGTTTCTGCATTAGTTTGCTTAAGATAATGGTTTCCAGCCATATCCATGTTGCTGCAGAGGACATGATTTCATTCTTTTTTATGACTGCGTAGTACTTTATGGATACACAGCATTTATTTATTTTATTTATTTTTTATTTTACTGTTTGATAGAGACAGGGTTTCACCATGTTGCCCAAGCTGGTCTTGAACTCCTGGACTCAAGTGATCCACTCACTTCGGCCTCCCAAAGTGCTGGAATTACAGTTGTGAGCCACTGCACCCGGCCTACACAGCATTTTAAATGAGTGATCTGGTGCAACTTGTATCATCATGAAAAGATCCACAAACCTATTATGAGGAGTAATGAAAGGAAGTTGCTACGGGATATGTACAGTATATCATTGAAATAAATTTTCCAGATAAGCAAAATATTTTACTTTGCTTATATAGCCAGGTATGGTAGAACTGTGAAAATGTGTCTGGTAATGACACATTACCAGATAAATACCAAATACGCATGATAAATACCAAATGGTGACCATGATCACCACTGAAAAGGGTGGCAGGGTGATGGGTCAGGAAGACGAGGGGCTTCAACTCTAAATGTAATGTTTAATTTGTCATTAAAACAAACAACAGCCAAAGAAAGCACGGTCATTTAGTAAGATTTGACAAAATTGAGTGGTGGATACATCAATGTTCATAATATTATTCTCTATACTTTTCTGTACATTTGTAATATTTCTTGCTTTAAAAAAAAAGGAGAAACGAGATTATTTAAAAAAGTCAACCATATTCCTACATACCAGCTACAGATAATTTGGTAGTATAATTTAAAAAATCATATAATTTGCACAATGATAACAATTTGCACAATGACAAGCAACTGTGGGAAAAAATCTAGAAACATATATATATGTGTTTTTTTTTTTTTCTTTGAGACAGAGTCTCGCTCTGTTGCCCAGGCTGGAGTGCACTGGCATGATCTTGGCTCACTGCAACCTCCACCTCCTGGGTTGAAGCAATTCTCCTGCCTCAGCCTCCTGAGTAGCTAGGATTACAGGGGCACACAACCACGCCTGGCAAATTTTTTTTTTTTGTATTTTTAGTAGAGATGGGGTTTCACCATGTTGATCAGGCTGGTCTCAAACTCCTGACCTCGTGATCCGCCTGCCTCAACCTCCCACAGTGCTGGGATTACAGGCATGAGCCACCACACCAGGCCCTAGAAACCTGTTTTTTAAAAGCAACTGGGAGTATATCTAAGATATAGCATTTCTCTGTCTGAGAGCAGGGAGAGTTTGCATAGGTGGTAATGTCCTTCTAGGGACTCTTGAAACTAATTCAGGGCCCTACACACTGAAGGCATTTCTTGGAGTGGCCAAAGCATTGTCATGTGTTAAGAACTCTGAGAAATTCTCTGACAATGAAATTTGTGCAGCTTTCTTTAATTCAGCACTTTTCAAACATCTAACAACAGAATCCTTCTTGTCTAAGGGGCCTTGCCTTAGGAAAGGCTACCCTAACAACCTCAAAGTTCCCTTCCAATTCCCACGGTCCACCATTCTAGTCTTGGCTCTGCCACTAACTTACTGTATGACTTTGGCCGAATCACCTGTCCTCTTGGGGACTCAGTTTGTTAAGTTATTAACAGCTTGTGTGACAGAGCAAGACCCTGTCTGAAAAAAAAAAAAATCTCCCTAGCAAAAAATTTATGACTAAATCCTCTCAAATCAATCGCAACAAAGCAAAAAATTGACAAGTGACACCTAATTAAACTAAAGAGCCTCTACACCGCAAAAGAAACTATCAACAGAGTAAACACGCAACCTACAGAATGGGAGAAAATATTTGCAAACTATGCATCCAACAAAGGTCTACAAGGAACTTAATTCTACAAGGAACTAGAATCTACCAGAATCTATAAGGAACTTAAACAATTCAACAAGCAAAAACAAAGAACCCCAACAAAAAGTGGGTAGAGTACATGAACAGACACTTCTCAAAAGAAGATGTACAAGTGGCCAACAAAGATGAAAAAATGTTCAACATCACTAATCATCAGAAAAATGCAAATGAACTCATGATATACCATCTCACACTAGTCAAAATGACTATTAAGTTTCTTTTTTTGTCCCTGCCCTTGATATCTGAAGAATGGCTACCATTAAAAAGTCAAAAAATAATAATAATAATAACAGATGTTGGCAAGGCTGTGGAAAAAAGGGAACACTTACACACCATTGGTGGGAATGTAAATTAGTTCAGCCACTGTGGAAAGCTGTTTGGAGATTTCTCAAAGAACTTAAAACAGAACCACCATTCAATTTAGCAATTTCATTATTTGGTATATAACCAAAGGAAAATGAATTGTTCTACCAAAAAGACACATGCACTCATATGTTCTACACAGCACTATTCACAATAGAAAGACATCAGCCAGGCACAGTGGCTCACGCCTGTAATCCCAGCACTTTGGGAGGCCAAGGTGGGCGGATCACCTGAGGTCAGGAGTTCGAGACCAACCTGGCCAACATGGTAAAACTGTGTCTGTACTAAAAATACAAAAATTAGCCAGGCCTGGTGGCACATGCCTGTAATCCCAGCTACTTGGGAGGCTGAGACAGGAGAGTCTCTTGAACCCAGGAGGCAGAGGTTGCAGTGAGCTGAGATCACGCCACTGCACTCCAGCCTGGGCGACAGAGTAAGACTCCAGCTCAAACAAAACAAAACAATAGAAAGGCAGGGAATCAACCTGAGTGCCTATCGACAGTGGAATGGATAATGAAAATGTGGTACATATACACTATGGAATACTATGCAGCCATAAAAGAGAACAAAACCTCAACCAAGTTCAAGGATAGTGTCAAAAAGATAAAAACTAAAAAAGCGAACAAAATCGTGTCCTTTGCCACACCGTGAATGGAGCTGGAGGACATCATCCTAAGTGAATTAACACAGAAACAAAAAACCAAATATTGCATGTTCTCACTTGTAAGAGGAAGCTAATCGTTGGGTACACATGGACATCAACAGAGGAACAACAGACACTGTAGACTTCTAGAGGAAGGGCAAGGGCTAAAAAACTGCCTGTTGGGTACTATGCTCACTACTTGGGTGATGAGCTCAATCATAGCCTAAACTTCCGTGTCACACACTATACCCACGTAACAAACCTGTACATGTACCCCCTGAATCTAAATTAAAAGTTTAATTAAGGCCTGGCGCAGTGGCTCACACCTGTAATTCCAGCACTTTGGGAGGCTGAGGTGGGTGGATCACCAGAGGTCAGGAGTTTGAGACCAGCCTGGCCAACATGGTGAAACCCCACCTCTACTAAAAATACAAAAATCAGCCAGGCATGGTGGTACGTGCCTGTAGTCCCAGCTACTTGTGAGGCTTAGGTGAGAGGATGGCTTGAGCCCAGGAATTTGAGGCTGTAGTGGGTTTTGACTATGCCACTGCACTCCCGCCTGGGTGACACAGCAAACCCTGTATCTTAAAAACAAATCAAATTTACTCCAAATGCCACTTTGGGCTCTTTATGATGATAACTGACATTTATAGAGCCTTTATGTGCAAAGCACAGTGCTAGGATATCACGTTTAACTTCTTGTTGAGGTGGAAATCAAGTCTATTCTTATCCTTATTTTACAGATGAGGAGACTGAAGATCAGAGAGGTAAAGTCACCTGTTCAAGGTCATTCTGTGGATGTAGCTCTAACCCAAACCCTCCTGACTGCAGCACAAATTCTCAGCCACTACCATATTAGCCCCTTCATTTGAAGATATCTTTGTCATTGACAAGATTCCTTTTCCTCCTGGCCCCTTAAGTCTTCATGATTCTCTCATCTCATCTCCCCAGAGGAGCCAACCACACTATCTCCTCCAAGAACAAAGTCAGAGCCTTCACTGTAGACGGACCTGTGTTCTTCCCCCAAACTCGGTCCACCTTATCTCCAGAAAAACGATATGACTCGCCCTGGAGAAGGCGGGGGAAAAAAATCCTCTCCCCACCAACTCCACCCCGCAAATTACTGGATTTGGGGTAAATTTACAGGCTGGAGACAGAAGAATGGATGTGTATTTAGCTTTCAAATTGACTATTGTTTTATGTGAATGTCTGATTAAAACAACACAATGGCTGCCAGATGGGGGCTGGGAGTGAGATTTCCCATGTGGAGAATTCTAGAAGACATGCCCGGAGTTCTGGAGCCTGGATCCTCTGGACAGACAGGTGGCCAGGCAACCAGGGTGGAGACACCAAAGATAACTGTGGGGTGGGGAGAAGACCCCAGCCCGAGAGAGATTTGACTGGGATTGGTCTACACAAGAATGGAAAATGGAGGCAGCATGAGTTAGCAGCAAGCTTGTACACTGCTATAGAATCCGAGGGACCCGGCCAGTGCTGGCCAATAGAAATAGAATGTAAGCCATAGACATGATTTAAACTTTTCTTGTAGTCGCTTAAAAACATGGTAAATCTATGAAACAGAAGATTGCTCATGCAAATAAATGAACTTCGCTTTGGTCTCAGGGATCAGGGGTCCCACACTCAAGTGCTCTCAATACCCAGAGAAGTAACTGAAATAAAAGGAACACACAGGGTGTGAGCAAAGTTCACACGTTCCTCTAAGAAAAACAATACAGCAAACATGGTGATTTCTGTTCATTAATAAGCTTCCATGTGGGGACACCAAGGAATAGTGGGGACTATGGCACGCGAATCTAAAGGAGCTCCGGGAGACTGTTGTTTCATAGGCATCAGGGTTGCTAGACCTTCACTTTTTTTAAAGGATGTGAAAGTTGGGATTTTTTTTTAATTTATTTTTTTGACAGGGTCTTGCTCTGTCACCCAGGCTCGAGTGCAGTGGTGATCTTGGCTCATGGCAATCTCCACCTCCCGGGTTCAAGAGATTCTCCTGCCCCAGCCTCTTGAGTAGCTGGGATTACAGGCGCACTCCAGCATACCTGGCTGATATCTGCATTTTTAGTAGAGATGGGATTTCCCATTGTTGGCCAAGCTGATCTAGAATTCCTGACCTCAAGTGATGTGCCCACCTCAGCCTCCCAAAGTACTGGGATTACAGGTGTGAGCCACCGGGCCCAGCCTCTAATTTTTGTATCTGTTGCAGAGATAGAATCTTGTTGTGTTCGAGACCAGCCTGGCCAACATGGTGAAACCCCATCTCTACTAAAAATACAAAAATTAGCTGGGTGGTGGCATGTGCCTGTAATCCCATCTACTCGGGAGGCTGAGGCAGGAGGAATTACTTGAACCCGGGAGGCGGAGGTTGCAGTGAGCCGAGATCGAACCATTTCACTCCAGCCTGGGCAACAAGATTGAGACTATGTCTCAAAAACAAAAAAAACAAAACAACAACAACAACAACAACAAAAACTGTTTGAAAGCTACTAATCTGCCCATGGCCTCTTAATTTACAAGTGAGAAAGCTAAGGCCTACAAATGGCAAGTACCTGAGATCCTGTGTGTGTCAAGGCTAGAGCTGGGACCACAGCCTGGGTCTCCTTGCTCCCAGCACTGAGCCTTGCAGGCAGCTGAATCCTGCAGACAGCTGAGTTTGCCTGGGAAGCTGCCCAGGAGAGCGCCCAGAACTCCCTCCAGCTTCTCTGGCTCTGCCCAGGGCAGGGCCGCCTGCTGTCTCCCTCTCTTCCACCTCCTCCGCCCTTCCTCATGCCTGTTTGAACAACTTTCTGACCTGCTCCTTCACAAACTCTCCTGGAGGTATGGCTGCCTCCACTGCTTGTCCCAGAGAATACGGAGGCGTTGGCAGCTTGGCGGCCCAGGTTCAGCCAGGCCCATGGCAGACAGTCGTCAAACAGTGGCTGTCTGGGGAGAGGGAGGCCTGTTTACCCAGGGCAAGGCCCAGGCAGAGGCTGCCGTTTTCTCCCTCCACCCCTGGCCCGTCCAGCTGCTCACCCTACTGACTCAGCTGTCCCCATCTGTATTTGCTCATTCTGCAAATATTTATGGAGTGCCTACTGTGTGCCAAGCACTGTTCTCCGTGCTGGGGATACAGCAGGAGACAAGGCAGCCTAACTCCCTGCTGTCATGGAACTTCTGTGAAGGAGACAGATGATAAACAGATCAAGGAATGCTTAATTTCAGGGCTGTAGAGGATAATGGTATTGCTAGCAAGGGATGGAGGTGGGGCAGGCTTCGATTTGGGCGTTCAAGGGAGGCTGCTCATAGAAGGAACAGCAAGAACAAAGGCCCAATGGCAGGAATGTGCTTGGTGTGACTGAAAGATTGTTAAAAGGCCAGTGTGGCTGACTGCAGTGAGCAAAGGGAGAAAGATGAGAGACTATCAGACAAAAGCCAGAGCCTGTGGGGGCCTTTTGGTCAAAGAAAAGAGCTCAGGGACGGGCGCGGTGGCTCACGGGAGGCCAAGGTGCACAAATCACTTGAAGTCAGGAGTTCGAGACCAGCCTGGCAACATGGTGAAACCCCGACTGTACGAAAAATACAAAACTTGCCAGGCATGGTGACACGTGCCTGTAATCCCAGCTTCTTGGGAGGCGGAGGTTGCAGTGAGCCAAGATCGTGCCACTGCACTCTAGCCTGGGCGACAGAGTGAGACTCTGTCTCAGAAAAAAGAAAGAAAGAAAGAAAAAGAGCTCGGGTTGTATTTGAAGGGTGACACAAAGCTGTTGGAGTTTAAGTTGGGATGTGAAACATGGCTGCACTCTGACCTTCTCTAACTCTGCCCATTCCCTTCATGACTTCCCATCCCAACTGTTTCCAGGTACATTTGAGGTTGTTTGAAATCGTGTTTAATTATTCCCTTTTCCTTTGAAATTTTCATTTATTTCTATTCCTTCGACCTCCTGGGTTCAAACAATCCCCCTACTCAGCCTCCCCAAATGCTGGGATTACAGGCATGAGCCACTGTGGCCAGCCCAATTTCTTTTTTTTTTTGAGATGGAGTTTTGCTCTTGTTGCCCAGGCTGGAATGCAATGACACAATCTCGGCTCACTGCAACCTCCGCCTCCCAAATTCAAGAGATTCTCCTGCCTCAGCCTCCAGAGTAGCTGAGATTACAGGTGCCCGCCACAATGCCCGGCTAATTTTTTCGGTATCTTCAGTAGAGACAGGATTTCACTGTGTTGGCCAGGCTGGTCTCGAACTCCTGACCTACTGATCTGCCCGCCTCAGCCTCCCAAAGTGCTGGGATTACAGGCGTGAGCCATTGTGCCCAGCCTCTTGTTTGTATTTCTAAACATCATGGTTATACTGACTTCTCAAGAAATCAAGACTTCTTGATTTTTTAGTTATAGACGTAATGTGTTAACTTGCTAGTAAGAAAGATCCTATATAACTATATCCCAATTTGGAGATAAATCAATATTTTCAGTTGCATAACCACATTACTATTATGGCTATTATTCACAGCTGACTTTGTCTGTATGTGAACCAAGGCCCTTCCATTCACTGTTTTAATTAAGCTTCACTGTAACACGGTAACATAGCTTTGGTCAGTATCATTAACAATACATACTAACATTTTACATTCAAGGAACTCTTTGCAGTTTGCAGGACACTCTTGCCTCTATCCCCTTGAGCAGCAGAGCTACCCTGAGAGGTAAATAGAACTAGCATTATTAAGCCCATTTTCAGAGGAGGATGTGGATCCCAGAATGATACAGAAAATTCTACTGATCCCAGTAGTGCCCAGTGGTTCAGATAAAACCCATCTTCCTGGCCGGGCCTGGGGGCTCACACTTGTAATCCCAACACTTTGGGAGACCGAGACAGGCGGATCACTTGAGGTCAAGAGTTCAAGACCAGCCTGGCCAACATGGCGAAACCCCATCTCTACTAAAAATACAGAAATTAGTTGGGCGTGGTGATGACGCAAACCTATAATCCCAACCACTCAGGAAGCTGAGGCACGAGAATTGTTTGAAACCAGGAGGTGGAGGTTGCAGTGTGCCAAGATCGCACCACTGCTCTCCAGCCTGGGCCACAGAGTAAGACCCTGTCTCAAAAAAAAAAAAATATATATATATACACACACACACACACACACACACACACACAACTGTCTATCTATCTCTCTATCTATGTCTCAAAAAAAAAAAAGCCCGTTTTCCACCTAGGGAGGAAGAATTGGGGGATGCTGGACAACTGCGTGAAGGAGAGGTAAACTCTCCTCTCGTGTTTTGGGTTGATCAGTCAGTGTTGCCTTTTCTGATACAATCTTTGGTGTTGAATTCTAGCTCTGCCTTTCATGCCCTGCTTGGTTTTGAGTAAGCTATTTAATCTCTCTGAGACTTTGTTTCTCTCCTGGGAAATGGGGATGATGACAGTACCTACCTCAATAGACGGTTGTGACGATTAAAGGAGTTATTTATTTATTTATTGGAGAGACAGGGTCTCACTTTGTTGCTCAGGCTGGTCTTGAACTCCTAACCTTAAGTGAGTCTCTTGCCTCAGCCTCCCAAAGTGCTGGGATTTAAGTGTGTGCCACCATGTCTGACCAAGGAGTTAATTTTTTTTTGTTTTTTTTTTTGAGACGGAGTGTCGCTCTGTCGCCAGGCTGGAGTGCAGTAGTGCGATCTTGGCTCACTGCAACCTCCACCTCCTGGGTTCCAGCGATTCTCCTGTCTCAGCCTCCCAAGTAGCTGGGACTACAGGCATGTTTCATGCCCAGCTAAT